CTGCTAACAAATCCTTCTTCATCACAGCTGTTAGCTTTTTCTTGAAGGTCTTTGTCTTTCTTCCAGTGGAATTGCTGAACAGTTGGTTCTGTCCATAGATTTAATGTGAACCATTGGTAAACTCAAGCATATGGCATCTGCTGCATAATGTGACTTTTCTACCCCAAATTATCCTCTGGCCAGCATCATGGCGAGTTGTCCTCCAGGAAAACATTTAGACTACTGACCTTATCAATATATATTTGCACACTCATCTTCTCTGTGGAATAGAGTCATAGAATCATTTAGGTTGGAAGAGACCTTTAAGATTGAGTCCAACCGTAAAATAAAAGTAGGAATAAAAGGAGGAATAAAAGAAGGAAAACAGAGGGTGAAGCTTGAAAGCAAAATCTGAATTCTTCCTTTGTTCCTTGGGATCTTTAACTAACTTGTACGTTATCTGGACTTGTTAGTGAAGGCTTGGTCAATGCTGCAGTCTGTTGCCCCGGGCTAGTGAAGCCCATGACTTTAGAGGTTGTAGAGTCTCCATCCTTGGAGATATTCAAAAGCCATCTGGACATGGTCCTGGAAACCTGCTCGAGGTGACCCTGCTTGAGCAAGGGGGTTGGACTAGATGACCTCCAAGAGGTCCTTATCAACCTCAACCATTCTGTGGTTCTGTCTTGAGATCCCTGAAAAGCACATCAGGAATGGGCATGTAAGTACTACAAATACTTCAGGAGGAAAGAGGAGTTGGAAGTCCCTCAACATGGGCCTCCACAGCAATTGTCAGTTGACTCAGCCGTGGACTCTGATGTTGACACGTTTGGTGGCAGTGAAGTTAAACATTGTCTTAAGAATTCAGCCCTAGCCTGATCATAGCTGATTTCCCTCTCCAGATTTTGTGACCGAAAAGTACCTGAAAGCTTGTTCTTTCTTCTTTCCTCACTTGAAATACATGATAAAATCCTGCCATTTGAGTACTGAAAAGGCTTATTTCTCTCTATAGTCTAGTCCCAAACCTTCAGTTTATGCCATGCTGTCCCTCTGCTTTGTGTCTGCTTTGTGTCTGGCAGAGACATTATTGTAATGTAATGTAATGTAATGCAATGTAATGTAATAATATAATATATTATTATATATATATAATGATATATATATATATCATG